TACCTTTAAAAGTCCGCGACCATACATTTTTATTTTTATTTTAATTTTGTTTTTCTACACGTTTTACTTGTGATATCAGAAAATAAAAGAGAAATCATTTCTATATTTTATGATATTTTACATTTTGCGCATGCTTCCCAAATGAATAACATGTCTGAGAAGATGGGAAAAGACATCTTCGCACCACGACAATGCACGTCATGCAGTTGTTTTTAATTCGCTAAAATACCATGTTTTCTTGCACATAATCATTAGATAAACATTTTTTGTAGAATCCTTGTTAAGTTAACAAAATTTAGTAAGGGTTGAGTAATTGCGATTGATCCTGTTACTCGCGTAAAAGGGTTAAAATAGTGCGAAATGCGGAAAAAGGTGGCATATTGCATTTGTCATATCTTCCAAACGAGTTTATTGAATCCAATTTTTTTCTGTTTTTACAATGAGCATATCATAAACTTCACCCCTGAGAAGTTTCAATTCGTATTTTCGGAACAATTACTGATGAATCACATTTATTATATGAATCATACTTAGAAATGCGCGTGTCGCGCATATCCGGCACCATATATAAACGCACATAAGCGTATAATTATAGTAAAGCTCTTGCATGTTTTTTGAAAATTTTGTCAAATTGCACCATATCATGCATGCATGCATGCATGAAAGTAATCCGCGATGTCATATTACATTAGTTTGATTAATTGATCGCAATTTAATTATCAAGCAACTACTTTGTATAATAACTAATTACGGCTAATTACTTTCGTATAATTAAACTCGGCATCATGTTTGAAATTGAAGTTTCTTGAATATTAATTTACAGCGTTCGTGTAATTATTAAATTTCATTAAGTGATTAATCAATGTAAAAAGTTATATTAAATTTCCTCTTTCTAAAAATAGCATAATTTTCTGTTTTAATCTAAAATTAGACATTTCAGATCTCAGTTTAGACAATACATCATTTAAGAAATTTGTAAGTAATATATGAACAACGATAGCGAGTGTTTCACCGGGATATCCAAACACGAGAAAACAATGTATTTTCATACATTGTTTTCGAGTGTTTGGATATCCCGGTGAGACACGAGCTCGAGTTGTTTATATGGCTTCTCAAATTAATCGAGACGTAACAGAATGTTTTCGTTTGCTGATTTGAATAGAATTCTTAACCAAGCATAACGTAATTAGGAATTCTATTCAAGTAATTTTGCATGCGTAATTAAAGATTTTTGATGAAAACACTAGTGATTTTCATCAAGTTTCACCGGGTTATCCAAATGGTGTTGTGATCAAATAGGTGATTATCGTTGGCTGAATTGCTCATGAATTATTAATGAATTTGAGAAAGGCAGCTAATAGTATTCTTTGGAGTGCAAATTGGAAAAAAGACACGCACGAGTGAGTTTTGCAAAAACGATCAAGATTGCACGAGTCTAAAGGACCAGTGCAATTTGAAGTCTTTCAAAAACTCACAAGTGTAGCCATGTTTTATTACTTTGGTAATCAATAAGAAAAAGTTACACATGCAGATGCAAATTTATAATCACTTACATGCATGAAACACATGCGAACAAAATTAATCATTTCCTCACTCATATTAATGACACAACAACTTAAAGTACAAGCTGTCTTTTTAGGTGCCTAATGTCGTTTTAGGTGCTTGCTATATGCATTTCTATTTTGACTGAATCCTTCATTTGTGACTGAATTTTGTTGGCACTGTATTTAGATAAAGATAGCCAAGTGTATAATTTGAATAATTGAATAATGTTTTCAGTATATTATTGGATCCAGTCATTAATAAAAAAAATAAATTTAAACATAATATGTATAGATCTCCCTCAAACATCGTAGAATATAAACATCCTGGGCCGGTTGTTCAAAACTGGGTTAGCGCTAATCCTCATGGGTTAAAATTTACCCGCTGTTTTTGTTTCTGTACATTTGCACATCTGTTTATTTCAAAATTTTGGAAAATAAAACTTCTATATTGATACAGACATAAATTTTGGAAAACTATCTTCATGTTTCTAAAGAGGCTGTTGGGATGATTGCTTTGAAATTTGCGTTAACCCATCTGCAAACTTGCTACTCTGCTTTATATAAACCAGGGGCTATTCAACAATTACGACGTTTTGCTTACTCCTCTCCCCCTTATCATCTCTTGTCATCAGCCTGCCTACGCCCGCCCTCCTTATCTTGATCACGTAACTGTCATTTATCGATCCCCCCGATTCCTGATGATGACTAAATAAAGTCGAAACGTTGAATCAAAAATATTGTCTTTATAGCGAGGGTATATTTTGTGTTACTTAAGGTATATTTTATGTGCTTACTTAGCTATTTACTAATAACACATCATCTTTTAAAACTGAACATTATTCAATGTTTCTAGTGATAGTATAATGGTAATAGTAACAGCAACAGTTGAAGTAATGGTTTACTAGAAAGATTACATTCTATAATTCTGCAATTCGTTGTTTTTATGGTCATGGTCACTGCATGCCAACTCTGACTCATAATGAATGAGTTTGTTCTCCATATTTGAAGACATGATCTTCACCAATAAGTCTTTCGATACCCCACACGTGATCAACTGTCATCCAATTATAGGTAGCTACCCCTCCTCCCACTTCCTTGACGATGGCGTAATTTTTCATTTGTCCTTTCACGTATGCATGGCACGGACGAATAAGGTCCTCCCATTCACAACTTTTTTATACTTTTGACCCTCAAATGAATGCATTTCTGGCATTTTCTGCAGCATCCACAAGGAAAACGACAAGCATATTTTATAAGGTTACATTTTATATTTTCTTTGTAACTGCATACACATTTTGTATTTTAAGAACTGGACCAAAGGTTTAGAATTAAACATTTTTGTTGAAATGCACGCTACAAAACTTCTGAATTTTACTGTTTATGTACTATATATAGCCATGTAATGTAATATGTAAATAAGTATAAGGAAATAGAATATATCATATCGGTAATTTCTGACAATGAAAAAAATTTGTTATAGACAGTCTCAGGTAGTTGTTTAAATATGCAGTAATTAAAGAAGCCTGAATTTGACAAATTCTATACGGTGCAATTCGTGACAGTATAATATCGCGGTGATTGCAATGCAGGATATTCTCATACTAATATCATCATTTATATTACAATTTTGAATGTAGGACTTATATACAATTTTGACTGTAAGACTTATATACTATAAAGAAATTTATATTAATAGGATAAATTTTGCGTAGAAATACCACCAAACATCTGTATAGGCTACAATGTACATGCAATGTACCACCAAACATCTGTATAATATATCTGAGCTTTTCTGTGAGATATACCGGTTCTAAAATCATTTCTTTCACTTAACGAAAAGTATTTCAAATTTTCAAGGCCAAGCGGTTTTTGGCCGAACAAATTGTCAAGACATTGTAACAGAGGATAATTAATTATTGCTTCAGTTAATGGCTATTAGACTATATTATAAAACAATTATACCATTCGCTCCGTCGTATATGGCTGATAGCCGACTCGGTGCCGTACGCACCTCGTCGGCTATCAGCTCATATATGACTCGAGCTCATGGTATAATATATATACAGGGTGTATAAAAAAAAACGCAATCCTCGACTGAAATGTAAATTGCTAAACAAATAATAGACTAAAACGTTAAAGTTTACATTCATTTTAAAGCGTAGCCATTCAGCTTTCTAACAGTGGGTTGTTTCTTAAATTTGACTCATTGGTTCGCGGGTAATAATACTTTACGTTATTGCGATTGGAGATTAAAAAATTTGAGATGGAATAACAAATCGTTCTCATGAAAATAACTGATTTTTTCATTAAAACAAAAAAATGTTGCATTTTAATAAATGGATTGTAACAATAAGTATAATTACGGCTTTTCTTCCACTATTTTTAACACAGTTTGAAACTTCAAATGCGATATAATTTTGGCTTGGACCATCTAAGCTGACTGACATCGGCTTGCTATAATTTCTGTTTACATTACATCGCAATTCGATGACACTCTGGCTCAGACACCAGAATGTTTTGATTCTATGATTTTTAGCATTCGTTTAGGATTTTCAAACAACCTGGTCTCTTTTAAAATACTTTTAATTTGTTCTTACGTGGTTTTCCAGATGTAGTGATGACAACATTAAAGTTTAAAGAAGAAAATTCTAACATTTAAACCGACTAAACAATAATATACTAAACTTCCATAATTAAACAGGAACTAAAAATCATAGGTTTTACTAAATCTTTTCGTGTGGAATTATTACTAGGATTGGAGACAAGGATAATAGTTTGTTTGAAAGAGAAAAAAACGGGCTTTGAAGTAAGCCTAAAAGTGTTTAACTAGACATAGTATTTCGAAAGTTATTAAGCACAAAAGATGAATTGCGTTTATTTTGATACACCCTGTATATATTTATATATATTTATATATATATATATATATATATATATATATATATATATATATATATATATATATATATATATATATATATATATATATATATATATATATATATAGCCCCCTACTTCAATGGCAACGCACCTTTCTCTAGAGTGCTGTCACTTAATTTGTTAATTATTAAGCAGAAATGCACCCAAATATGCCCTATTTTGTTGTTTTACTCTGTCTATATGCCAGACAATTTAGCTTTAAACTCATCAAGGGAAGAGTTTTTCACTCTAATGTGTTAACCCATTGATTAAGCTAAGTAAAAAAATGTAGTACGCATTGCAGCTGAATGGGTCTGCTGCACAGTAGTTCATAATTAGCACAATTAAACCATAATAATCTATTCTAATATATTGCTCCAATTTCATTTAGATCGACACAATTAAACCTGCAGTAATAAATTTACGTGGTGTTTCCACAAACAAAACCTATTACAATTAAACCTATTTTAACAATTCTTCTCTTTCAGTTTAGTTCAGATCTAACCAAAGTAAATTGGACACAATGAGTGTGACACAATGAATGAACAACAGGAAACTTTAAGAGTGCAGTTAAGGGGGTCATTGGTGGATCTGTTAAGACAGCTACAAAATTTAGATTCAGAACAATTAGATGCCATTACATTCAGGATTGGACAATTAGCCTTCCATATCATAAGACTTTGTGATGTAAACCTTGTGGATGATGAAATTCAACATTGTGTCACACAAGCAATGTATTATTTGCAAAGAGTGGAAGAGTTGAATACTGATAGACCTTTTACAATAGAAGTTGTTAATTTTGGCAGAGCAGGCCGTCCAGGTCTTGACATTAGTCTTGAGCAACTAAACTACTTCCTGAACTATCAATTTTCCATCAGTGATATTGCAAGAACTTTGGGAGTCTCACAAAGTACAATATTTAGACGAATGCGAAAATATGGCCTGTTTGGCAGGTCCAATTTACCTCCTCTGTCAGATGATGAGCTTGATGCCAAAATGAGGGAGGTTTTACAGGAATTTCCTAATGCAGGATACCGTAGAGTTATTTCCCAACTTGCTGTTGCTGGGTTGAATCCCCCGCAAATGAGTGTTCGAGAGTCGATGCGAAGGGTTGACCCCCAAGGAGTTGCTGTTAGATGGCTGAGATTGACTCCAAGAAGGCAATATAGTGTTTCTGGTCCTTTGGCATTATGGCACATAGACGGCAACCATAAATTGACCAGGTACACTTTGATATTATACATGTAAATGTGTACTGTAAAAATGCCCAAATCACCCAATTAAAATTTGAGCAGAGATGAAAAATATTTTCTCTTTTCCTCTGGGACCATGCATGGGTTTTGGGCTCAAACTTTCTCTCATCAAATTGAATAAGAAAACGTGACAGCAGCACACTGGACATGAAAAATTTGCTACATTAATTAATTTTCCATTGCAGCCACTTTGTCCAGGCGGGCGGGGCAACCAATTTTAATCATGAGGAAAATCGGTCGCAAGGGCACGCCGTCTACTTTCATGGCGTGTCCGCGAGCATTTAGGTAGCTGCAACAACTGCAGAGAAAGTTGACTAATGTTTGCAGATCGTTCCATCTGCTCGGGGAAAGCGACTACAATGGAAACTGCCTTTAGGCAATTTACCATTGACATTATTATAAGCTTTAATTTATTATATTATTAATATTGTTTTAAATTATAAAACTGGTTTAGGTGGCGACTGGTCATACATGGTGGGATTGTTGGGTACACACGAATCGCAGTTTTTTTAAGGTGCAATGAAAATAATCGTGCTGAAACAGTTTTAAATTGTTTTTTGGATGCAGTTAGTGAATATGGATTGCCATCCAGAGTTCGGTCTGATAAGGGAGGCGAAAATACAGCTGTTTCTCTTTACATGCTACAGCATCCTTCACGAGGACTAGGGAGGGGAAGTATGATCACCGGTAGGAGCGTTCATAATCAGCGGATCGAAAGATTGTGGCGTGATCTGTTTGAGGATGATACCTGCATCTATTACCACCTATTTTATCATTTAGAAGATAATGGTTTACTTGAATCATCAAACCCCTTACATCTTTTCTCACTGCACTATGTGTATGTTAAAAGGATAAACAGGCACTATAGAAAGTTGGAGACAAGGCTATCTACAGCACAGGGTCAGAACTGCAGGAAACAGAACTCCCATGCAACTTTATATCATTATTATTATTATTATTATTATTATAAATTTCCAAACTAGCAGTGACAACTGAATTACTTTGGAATTACAGGGTATAAGAACATAGGTATTCAATCTATTCTATATTTCCAGGTAAAAATAGGTAAGTTAGATAAAAATAACGATAATAATCTAAAGTTTACTTATTATTATAAGCACGAGACGCAGCAGGAATGAAACTGTTCGAAAAACGTTCAGTTCTACACCTAGGTACTAATAAGTTG